TCACTTATGATTACATTGAGTTGTATTCTTCATTATACATAAGTGAGTGTAGAAAAATAAGCAAAAAAATACAAATAATTATACCTTTTTTATTGTGGTGTAATGTAATTCGATTCTACCAAAATTCAAATTTACTTGGTCTTTAGATTTAGTTCATGTGCTATTCTTAAGCCATGTTTCTTACTCAATCCTTGGTCTTTAAATTCATGTAGATCTTCTTTTGTTACTATAATAGTTTCTATCAATTACTATTTTTTATAATTTCCAATAAAAAAAATATCTAAACTTAATCATTAATAATAAATATTAAGCTAAGTTCTCATTTATTTAAGCTCACTTTACTAGTTACAAAATAAAATTTATTTGTGATATTATCAATTGGAGCATATCAATACTAATTTTCTCAAACAACTCATTTAATATGCTGCAATTATAGAGATTTTTATCAAGAAAATTCCATGCAATACCTATTGAACCTACCTTCTTGAAAAATATTTGGCTTCAAAGTTCCTAAAAGTGACTTGACTTGCACATCCACTTGAACTTTTGAATTTGGATTTCAATGGCTATGTTATAGCTCTTATTTTTTTCAATTTTAAATATTATGTGACTTATATAGACAACTATTTTTTCTATATAATTTTTTATCTCTTCCAACAAAAAGTAAGTGTTCTTGGATTTTTAAAATATTTTATAAATAGGCTAAAAATTAAACCAACTATGAATTGTAAATGCTTTGATTTTATTAAAAAAAAATAATTATTTATCTTCTAATTTTATTTAATACATTTTTGCCTATTGAATCTAATGAAAACTCACCAACATACATATCAAGGTAAAATATAGTAGCTGAAAAAAAATATTGTTTAATTCTATTTGAGATATATTGTGATTGCTCGTTTAACTTATTTCGGAAGAAACCTCCCAGCATAAACCCGTATAGAGGGATTCGAACATGGGGAATGACTAGTTGCTTAAGCGTTCACGTTAAGGTCATACAATCAATTACCTCCTGAATGTATCGTCTCTATTTTCAATATCTGAACACACAAGGAAACTATAATCTCCTCCTTCACCTTATCAGTCTTTTCTTTACAACAATTTAGTCATACCAATAACTGCTATTTCCATCAATATATTCACCCTCATAATCTCCAACAGTATTACTGTGCCCTCACAGCTTTCAGCATATAATTACCCTCGTTCCAATCACTGGAATTCTTCACACAAAACTGCCATTCACATTACAGTGTTTCACACAAACACAGACTCATTCTCTCTACTGAACTACAATCAGATTTTAGCATTCAATCTTTCTTCTTCTCAAATAATATCAATCACATTTCCATTCCATAATTCACTTCACAATATTCAGAAACTCTCAATCCTCTTATTCAAAGAAAATAACAAACAAAAGAAAAGAGGTAGCACCAAGCTTATCCCGGCTTACACTATCACAGCGATGGCCCTCGACTCACAACTCTCACAGTTTGGCACCCTAATTAACTTCTACAACTCCTATATACTTTCCCTTGATTTTCCAGATTCTAACCGTAATTCTGTAATTAACCGCTTTTAATAACTAAATCACTCATCCATCCTCCTGAATTTCCTATTATATGGACTATTAATATATTTTACTAATATCTTTCAAAAACGAATTAATATCTATTCTACATATATTTTATGAAATTAAATTTATCAAATAATAAAAAAAAGAAGCCATCACATGCACCACCTATTTCTAAAATCAATATTCTATGAAGACTATCTTCTATAATAGCATTCTATTTAAATTATGGCATAAAATAAAGCCTAATAATTTTCTTTTTGGATATTTGGTAGCAAAATCTATGTTAAACTTCCTAATAAACTTCAAAAGAAACTCTCTAAAATCAATACTCCGTCAAGACTATCCTCTATAATAGCATCCTATTTAAATTGTGGCATAAAATAAAGCCTAATATTTCTATCTTTGAATATTTGGCAGCAAAATTGATGCTAAGTCCCCTAATAAACTTCAAAAGAAACTTAAAAACTACTCCTATGAATGGATTATTCTTGGTTATAGTTCAATAAGTAAGGATTACAAACTGTAAAAAATCAACACCTAAGAATTATTTATCATTCATAATATAATATTTAAAAAAAAAACGTCTCTTTTCTAATCTTTTTACTCTAACCATCTATAAATCCACCACTGTAGAGTTCCATCCAAATCCTTGTTTTATCACATAATTGGATCTACAAAAAAATTATGAATCTTAATAATTTTTTCTCAACTTATTCTCAATTTATTATAATTAGTTAAATTGCTTCTTTGGCCACCACAATTAAACAACCTTCGTATCTTTATTTGATTGCAAGTTTTTTTTTCTTTCAATGCCACATCAACCTTGAAATTAATATTTACTTCTTTACTCCTCAATAGCGGTATACTTTTGATAATGTAATAATAGTTTCACCATCATCTTGTATGTAGTATGTTGACTCTTATTTCAAATTGGAGGTTATGTCAACTTCCTTGCACCTTGCAAGAATAAGTCAACTCCAATCTTAAAACTAAAATTTTTTCTCTATCAACATCACCTCCAATCATATAACTTTGACAATCCTCACAAATAACTAAGAAATTTTTTTTTTTTTTCAAGATCCAACAAAAAATTATGATACCATGATCTTTTGGGAACAAAAAAAACTAATAAAACTACCTCATAATAAGCAAGTTTTCTTCATTCATCACTTAGATTTTCTTTAGGAAACAACTACATATCATCAAGCATTGCAATGTCTAGAAGATTTCTATCGAAAACAAGCCATTGAAAATAAGTTAAACTCTCATGCAACCAATGATACTTAAATCTTTACTAAACTTCTTTCCAATCAATGACCAATTACTTGCAAGTTGCTCTTCAAGGTCAAATTAGAATCTAGTGATTAGATCAACTAATTCAAAGCTTGTATGGTTACTAGAACCTTGAGCCAAATCTTTGGCCTTCATTTTATCAAAACATTCTTTTTAGTAGTTTGCATCTAATTAGTCCAGCTCCTACTTATTCTTGTTGTCTAATAAAACTTCTATATATATTAGATGGATGTCAAAACAACATTCTTAAATGGCCTATTTTATTAAAAAAATTACATGCATGTTCTTAAGGAGGTCTCACCTCCATGTCCTAGTATAATTTTGTGACTTCAAAAAATCTTCTATAGATTGAAATATTTGCCTCAAAAATAGTAGAAAGTGATTAACATGTTCTTTGCTTTATTTAAATTTTTTAATTTTATTGAATTTTTTAATTCAATTGAATTTATCAATTCTAATGTATATTACTTTTACTAAGATTCTAGAGCATGGAATTAGCTATGTCCTAATGTATATTACTTTGACTAAGCTCATTTCTTTATATTCAGCAAAAATTAATTGAATTTGGTTTCTAGAAATTTCATATTGTCTCCACTCTCTTTGCCCTTGGTACTATGTTGTTTGTAATAGAATATCCACAGAATCTTAAAGCCAAAAGTCTTTGTATAATCTTTTCTTATGCTAATGTTGTTGAATTACTCAATTTTATTGGAATCTATATTTGACTTAATTTTTCTTTTATCATTAGTATCATGGCTTAATATATGTACAATCTTAGCTTTGCTTACATCAAAGTATACAAATATATATTTTTCTACTTATATAACTTGCAAGGTTATAACATTGAATAATAGCATACATTAAATCATAATCTAAATTCTTTGTATGGCTTTTGCGATGTCAACTTGATTGGCAATATTAACAAAAGATGCTTCACCTTTGTCATGGACATATATATTTATTCCAATAATTACCTATATGATTAGATAGAAATAAATAAAAGTAGATTTATTTCATAATATCTTCTAAAACAACTTCTTAGAAGCATTATAGATAAGGTTTTGATTTTACACATGTTTGTAGTTGATTAGTAGCTTAGAAATTTAATCAATAAGTTAACCATGTATTATACGTATTGGTAGCTTGTAGAACAAGCTAAATATGTGGCATACATATAGGAAACTTGCCTTATAAGTTAAGATATGTATCTTGCAAAGTCAACACGTGTTGACATCATATAGAACATTACTACATAGCTCCTAGTTACATAGTATATATGGAGGTAAGAGTGAAGCCTTCTTCATTCTTATCTATGCCTTTTTAGTCCTTAGTCTTCTTTGAAAACTTTCTAGTCTTTTTATCTTTAACAATAGCCATTCTAATTCAATATATTACCATCTTTGAGTGATTTCTTAGTCTTTTCAAGTGACACAAGAGTATATTGACCTTTAAGTTCTTTGAGGTTCATATCCTTGACAACCTTGGATTATTGTTTTATATTATTACATTGTGTTATTAGTTGGAGCTCTATGTGCCAAAAGCCAATTGCCTTCTCTAACACCAAAGCAAAATATATGGCCATGGTAACAATAGCCTCCAAAGTTGTCTGGCTTCATTACCTTCTCCACAACTTGCTCCAAGACCTAATCCATCCAACTCTAATCCAATGTGACAATCAATATGCATTGGCTCTTATCTACACAACAAAATTCCATGCTAGCACAAAACATATTGTGATGCAATATGACTTCATGCACCAACTTGGTGCAGTAAACAATTTTCATTTTATACATTGTTCCACCCACAAAATGCATGCTACTATATTGACAAAACCCTCATCCAGTCCAAAACCTACCCAGCATCTCACTATGCTTGACATGTTTGGAGGAGATGTACCACCTTCCACAAATATTAGGTAAGAGGGAGTATTGGAACCCACAAACCGTTACATGCACAAACACGGCTAATAAACTCAGAAGTCAAAATCCCATGTTACAAAGGTGCCTGTAACGGACACACCCCGTTGAGGAGTCGCGACCCCTCCAGGTCGTGACCTCCTCGGCAGTATATCTCCTGTAATACACTGTTCACTTTTAATAAGAAATTCACAAACATTTTCAACTAAATTCTCAACTAAATGTAATTCCAATAAACTCGTCACGTTTGTCTTGATAGCCCTATCACTGATGAGCCGGTTCTTAATAATGTGGGAAGCTTTGCAGTTCTAGATACGTTTTGAATCTTTGAAACTGTAACTACACGAAAATTAAACCGTAAGTACTAAGTCCTCAAGACTTCAACCATAAGACTATATGTCTTCAACATCACAGCTAGATATGCAAAAACCACTGTTTTACTCAAGTTTGTGCCTGTGATTAATTTGTAGGGGTTTTCTTTGATTGCCAGTGGCAATTCAGACAAAGGAGCTTCTGTGGAAACTACGGCTCACCCACTTTTTAGCTGGAGGTTGTTGATGGCGATTCCGTCATTTGGTAGTGTTTCAAAACTATAGCAATCTCCTTGCTGCTTCCATCGGCCACTGCAGAGCCATCAGTCTTTATGTTCAAAACCTTAGGGAAATTTAAAACCACTTAAAATGTGACAGATTGATTATCATATGGGAATTTGAGAAAACGTAGAATACAGACGTGGAAGTAGGCCCACGATGAGTCCGAAGGCATCAAAGAGAAGGAAGTTTAATGAACCACAAGCAAAACCGCGAGGTTTTTTAGAAAGTTAGGGTAAGTTAAGAAATATCAAATAACTTTTAAAACTTGCTTCTTCCAGCAAATTCCGACAGATTGATACAGAATTTCCAGTACCCAGTACCCTGTCAGTGGTTGTTTCGACTTTTGTATCTGCCGTCATCTTAAAGCAATGACCCATTGCCATAAAAATGACCCTTCGACACTGGAGTAGAGTGTGTTCTTTCTTGGGGTTACAGTGTAGAATTTAAACGGTATTCAGGCATCGTGTGTTGAGTACTTGATTCTTTGAAAGCAATCTGAGGTGGACAAATGCGTTGCGCTGTTCCGATAGATAATAACGGATGGGAGGTAACCAGAGAGGTGTTCATCAAGGGGGCAGTTCTGTGGGAATTGTTTGTCAGTAGGAACTGTGTCGGAAGCTGTCAACAGTCACGAGTCTACATCATATACAGAGGCTTGGCGATTCTGAAGCAATCCTTACACCCAGTGTTAATTATGCCCCATTCTCGGTACTGGCAAGAAAAGATGTCCTCATTAACGCAGTTCTGTACTACTTGCTCAATTCTATGATAGATTTGTGCCAGAAGATGATATTATCATTAGTTTCGAATGCAACAAACCGAGCTTATGCTCGCATGTGCTTCAGGAGAGAACCTCATCAACTTTCAAGTACTACGATCCGTTGTTAGTTGATCAGAGGCTGCAAGCAGTTCTGTGAAGACTTATTTGAGTTTGTAAGAGAATTGTTTCTGTACATAACAGAAAAAGCGGGCTCCAACAATGATCCCTTATATACGCAACATTCTATTAAAAAATACCAAGAAGAAGCAATAATAGCAATGGAGACATACTGTTTTTTAGTAGTAGCCTGAGGCTTTTGGTACACGCGTACACAATAACAGAAGATACACAGCTTAATGAGAGAGTGACTCTTCCATCTGTAGCCTTCGAATGAGCTGGATCTCCATGGAATCTCCTGTTTGCATTTGACCCAAGCACGTAAAATCACCTATATCGGTCCCCGGCTCAATGCCAAAGTTGATGAGGCTTCAACATCAACAACTTGTTCATGAGGTTCAACATCAACTTGTTCTATCTGAAAGACAGTGGAATCGAGGAGAAGAAATCGTTCGTTCAGTCCCTCCACTGCGCTCTCGCTTCAAAAATGCGGCGATGCATATTCTCTGAGAATATTAGCTTAAGTTTCTTTGCGCTCGTACATTACCTGAATCTGAACACACGCAGATTCTGAACTAGCCATCAAATAGGTATGAGGATTCAGATTAACCACTGTAGAAAGAACATGAAAGTTTTTCCTATCTTCTTCTGAAACAAATATGAAAGTGAGATGTATCAATCTTGTTGAATATGGAAACAAGATAGAATAATACTATCTAAGCTCTAATACCTCGTGATAATGATAGGGAAAGTATAAGAGTAGAAGATATGTTATATGGAGTGACTTCATCTATTTTATTATGTCTCAAGTAGAAGATGGATGACAATGCCATTATTACAAACTCTCTTGTTTCAATGCATTGTCATTCTTATTCTCATATCTAACATTTGTTTAGTCAATTAAGAACTATTCCACCATTTTAGAAGTATATTTCATTGGTTTTGATTACTTTAAAGTCATGTTTTTTTATTATATTTATATTACAAATAAGTATCTATTTTATTTTTAAAATTTTGAAAATAAATAAATAAATAAATAAATAGTATGGGAGATGGCATACTTTTACAAGAAAGTCTTCTATAGTTCCTATTTACATCGATAGGAAGACATTTTGTGTAAAAATGGTGTAGTCTAATTCTAAACTCTATGTGATTGTAAGCACCTCAAAAAGCTATAAAACATTATTCTATTTTTAAAATTTACATCTACATATATATATATATAATAAAAGAGATGTCTAGACTTGCATTTGATTTACATGAAAGAAAATTTAAAACTTTTTTTTACATGTTTTATATTAAATAATATGATTTTTTTTTAAATATTTTTTAAAAATAAGTTTATAAATATGGATTTTATGCATAATATTTTTTTATTTAAAATAAATTATATATATTTTTTCAAGTATTTTATTATTTGATATATTTTAATATTTCTTTAAGTATTATACATGGTTATAGTCTATCTTTTTAAGAAAGATGTCTTGCTTTAAAGAAGAAACTATTGTCTAAAAATATATAATACATGCATTCATTGCAATTAATTTTAATTTTAAAAAGTTAATTTTTCTTCCAATACTATTTAAAAATAAACTAAAAGGATATAAAAACTATTTTTTAAAATAATCAAAACCAACATATATATGCTATGTTATATAATGAATCTTTTTATAAAAAATAAAATAAAATATAAAAGACTAATATAAATAAAATAAAGATAATTAAAAATTAAATCATCTTATAAATAAAAATTATTATGATGATCTTATTTTTGAATTTTTAGAATATCATCCAAATTTATTGAATTTTTATTAATTCATCTATTTTTGAAAAAATAAATTATTAAAAATATATTATGTCAAAGTTATTCAAATAACAAGTATATTAAAAAATAAAAATAAAATATATATATATATATATATATATATATATATATTTATTTATTTATTTAATTTACATACATATTAATAATAAAATATAAGTTTATTTCAAGAAGACTAAATAGGTGGAAGTAATACTAATAGCTTAAATTTCATCCAACTAAAACATGTAAAATATTTTGAATTATCAACTTTGGCTACTTTGGTATTAAAATTTAAGCTATTGTGAATATAAACCTACATCTTTATTTTAACAAAAAAAAACTTTTCATATTTTTTAAATTTTATTTTATTCTATCATTTAAATTTTTTATGTAAAATTGATGATATCAATTTATTACATTTTTATATAGAATATTATTTTTTTATCATTTTTGTAGTAATAATCTAATGGTTTTTAAAATATTTTGTATAAAATTATATCCCTTATATAAAATAGTTCATGGGAGATAAATACAAGAGATAAATAAGAAAAGATAATAACCTTCTTTGATTTGTTGCATGCTTCATTGTTTTCATTAGTAAGCTTTCATTAAAAGTGAACCAAAATTTAGTTAATAGAGATATTAATTGCAATATTAATTAAGATTAACATGAAATAAATATATTGTTTTGAGATATTTCTAAGATGGAAAGTATACAAGAGCTTTGGTTGAAGAAAATTTACGCATGAATAACTCAAGGAGAAGCATAATAAATCAGATTACAACTTCTTCTTTGCAAGCAGTGAAGGGCAATGGATATTGGATTCTATGAGGTGCACATCTCATTTTAATCTTTAATTTTTCCAATGAGAATACAAATGGCAACAAAGAACAATCCAATGCTTAGGTTAGTATTGTAGCAAAAGGAACATAAATTTATTTTACTCCTCACTTTGTACCATGTATCTTTGTAGTTGGATGATTATAAGGACTTGAGCATAGCTATGGGAGGCAATGTGAAGAAAATTAAAGTCCAAGAGCTTTACAATCCATATTTTTAATCAAATTATATGACCACTTACTTGATTTAAATAGCACATGGCCTAATGCTTACAACATCTAGAATAATGTACTAAAGATGATTTTGATGTAATGTGCAAAAAAGCATCCAAGGCCTCATGCTTGACATTTACAAGTTAAACAAAGCAGAGTTGATCTATTGCATTGATTTATAAGGCTTACGCATGACACTTAATACAATGGTGGATTTGACATTATTTTGCATACTCTATTATTGATACAACTATGATTAGAATGGTTGGATTCTTTGATACATAGATATAGTAGATTGATGCTTACAATATCTAAAACAACATACTAAAGATAATTTTGATGCAATCTTCATTACAATGCAATCAAATCAATCATCATAGATTACATCATAGATTACATAAGGCTCTATTTGGTGGTTTTTTTTTTTTTTTTTTTTTTTTTTTTTACATGATTGGTTTTTATATTATTTTTTCATTGATTGAATATAATTATAGGTGGTATTGAATTGTAATATATATATAGAGAGATATTAAAACCACACCCCATATTACTATTTTATTATCAATTTTATCCATCCATGACTCTGTTCTTTGTTTCATGTCTCTTGTCTTCCATTTTCAATCTCCATGCTTCATTCCCTATCCCTAAGCCTTGTCTCCTATCCCTATCTCTTGTTCCTTCTTTCCAAAATTAATCATTACATGATTTAGAAGATGTGGCTTTTACAATATTGGGGTGTGGCTTCAACAATCATTGAGATGTAAAATATATATATATATATATATATATATATATATATATATATATATATATATATATATATATATATTTATATTAAAAATATTACATTTGCTACAAAGGTGATACATCACTCTTTGCATTCTGTTTATCATGCTAAATGTTGTAGGAATTATTTTCGTTGTTAAAGCTAATCAGACCCTTGATGTAATTGAATTATACTACCTTATTTTATTTTATTTTTCTGTTAGAGCGGACGCTTTTGCACACTTTCAACGTTTTTAGTCTAGAGACGGTAACTTTTGGATTGGAAGCTACTTCAACTTCCGTATAATTAAGTATAGAATAGGTAAATAAACTTTGTGGTAAGTTATTGGTAGGTTATTGACAACCTTGAGAATTAGACTGATGGTTAGGTAGTTTAGTTGATAATAGTAGATTGTTAGTAGAATAAATGGTTAAGAATTCAAAGGATAATAACCTTTGAAATCCGCTGGTGGACGGATCATCTTTTTGGTAGGATAAAGAGGTTGAGGAAAGAAAGATTGAGACCAGACTGTGAGAGCCATAAGCCAAGAGCCAAATTGTGAGAGCCATAATCCAAGAGCCAAATTGTGAGAGTCGTAAGCCGGGATAAGCTTAGTGCTACCTCTCTGTTTTCTTTGCTTTTATTATTTGCTTATGAAGAATTGTGATTGAAAGAAGTATTATTGAATTGATAGTCGTAGAATGGATTATATATTGAATCAAGATGGAAGTAGTAAGCCTTGGTATTTTGTAGTTTGATAATTGATTTCAGATAGCCAGAGTACAATCAATTGTGACACTAATAGATCCAATTCATATAACCAGTCTTTTTCCATATTTGAACCCACCTCTATTAGTTCAATTACTTTGGTATATCAAAGCTTGAACGTACTGAGAACAACATTTTGGCAACGCTATCGAGGAAATGATAACAATACGAAATGTTAGAAATTGATTGTATAGAAAGAATGAAAGATTATGAGTGATAATCATGAAGGGAAGGATTATCAAAGAATTAATCAACAAGCAAAAGAAAGATAGGAGCGATTACGCATAAGAAATATCCTACAGGAATGACAAAAAGGAATTGTAGGTCCAAGTAAAAACAAAGGAAGAAAAATTCAAATTCAAATAGTAAGGAGACTAGTGATAACACCAATGGCTGCAGGAGTGCCAGAAGTACCAATTGCGGTACAAATGGGAGCAGTAGGAGACGGAACTACAAGTGTGGTACCATTACCTACTTTTAATGGTTGGCCGGGCTCTATTCCCGATCACCATATATCTCAATTCTTAACAGCCTACGTGACTAATAATGGTAGAATTGAAGATATTTGGTTGAGATGGTTGCCAATAACTTTAAAAGATACAGCTTTTGAATGGTATATTCGGCAACCAGTGGGTAGATTTTTCAATTAGAAGGCCTTGAGGAATGCCTTCTTAACCTATTTTAGACCAATTGGATTTGAAGATTGGCTTCGAGAAAGTTTTATGAATAGCAAAATATTTGCAGGAGAATCCATAGAGTCCTATTATGGCCGGATCACAGATATACTTCGTAAATGGTCAAATAATCAAATGCCAGATGCGTTTATATTTTCGATATTAATCAATGGTTTGCATCTATCAAAATTAAAAATGTTTGTAAAAGAGGCTCGACTAGCTACGGTAGAAGCATTGTTGGTACGAGCAAAGGTGTGGAAAGAATGTCATTATGACCAATTGTTAACAATGGGAGCCACGGCGATTCCAAGTTCAGGAAGCCAACAAATACAATCGAGAAATGTGTCGATGGATAATTATCCACAAATGGCTGCCTCCAATGTGAAGAATGTTATGTAACAACAACCAATTAATGCTACAATACTCCAAGCAATAGCGTCAATAATGATGACACCTTATTTTACATTGTCAACCTATCAACAATCAAAGTTGTTCACAAATGCGATTGTTAAAGATCCAAATGAAGCCTTGTTATTAAATCTAATAAAGAAGATGGAAGAATTGGCCATAAATTTGGCTAAAGATAAAGAGAAATGACATAAGCCTTCTAATACGAGACCTAATGTATGATATAATAATTGTAAGAAACAAGGTCATTTTGATACGGAATGTCCATTACCTAGAAAAACGGATGTTCAATATATATTTTGTAGAGGAAAGCACCTTATCCAAAACTCTTGGTATTTATAAAGGCAACAATAATTCAATAATCAGACCATGATCCCACCGACTCAGTGGAAAGTCAATCAAGTTCAAACAAGAAATATGTATGGATGGAATAGAAATCGATCTAATCGACAAAATTGAACATTCAATAATATTCAAAGTTCCAATTCAAGGGGTCTGCATCAAACTTCTAAAACTATGAAAAGGAGCAATAGAGGTAACAGTAATATGTTCCACCGGCGTCATTGAACCAAGTACCCTCCATACCAATGGAACAA